TGACAGGCTTTATTATTTAAAACTGATTTGACTGATTTTACTTGTAATAAATCACTAGTTTTGAAACAATCTTATCTTATCATGCAGTACTTCAATAAACCTTGCTAACCTCACTAAAAATTAAATTGTCCTGCACCTGGATTTTGGTCCATATTCATTTGAATAGTGTTTCACTGAAAGAGCATGTGCTCCTAGCAGTTTCTGCACTACAGCTGGTAAAATGTTAATAAATCCCCAGATATTTAAATATTCAATCAGTGTTTTCTGCATTGAGGGGGATTTAATCAGGGCTTCTCCGGTGTGCATGTGATCTGTCTATGTTCTTGTTCTCGTTCTCCTTGTTACTACAAGACAGCACACATCTACACATTAATGCACTTGGCTATCCGTGTGTGTGCATTTATAGCTGTGTGCATGTTGTTTTTCATTAAGCAGAGCTGTATATTAATACAGTGGACCAACCACCAGTGACTGATCAGGCTGACAGAATCAAACTTCAAGCAGGAGACTTTCTCTGTGGAGAGGTTAAAAATGACCACCACTCAGGGTACACTAAAGTACCTCACTCTCACTGTAGTATTACATAAGCTGCACTGTTGTGCTATATTTTCCCTTGTCTACTGCTAAGATTTTCTTCCATTAAGTAACAACAGATGTCAGAAGTCCCTCCCCCTCAGATGTCTTCCTAATGTCCTCACTTCAAATCCATTCAAGCGCCTGTGCCCTCAGATTTAAGTGGGCCGATGTGTCAGGTTTGCTCGGCCGCTCTGGCCTCCCTCACCTTTCCTACTGTCTCTTGCCCATTAACACTAATCACGTTCACCTGTTCCTCACTCCCTTATCACCAGCTGCACTTGATTAGGTTGCTCACTATATTACGGACTGTTCCTCCAGACCGTGGCTCCACTCTCCCCTCCCAGGCAGGTCAATGCACAGTCGCCCATCTTTTTCCACTATTGCTTTCATCTCTCTGTCTCTACCTTCAGTAGCCACCATCACCACCGACCAGCCCAGGAGTGACCCAGCCTACGCAGCTCGGCCCAGCTCTCCATCTCCTCACCTCCTACTGTTGGTCAACACCCGGTTACTACTCATCGACAGGACTACGCACTATTTCCCTCTGTGCATTTTATTATTTCTCCTCATCACTGTACATAATAAATCACTGCTTGCATCGAAGTCGGCTACCTGGGTCCGCCTTTTTCTCGTTCGCTCACTGACAGGTGCGAATGGCACATAACACGATGAGGACACAGGAGGAGCATTTTACCTTGTGATTTGATTGAATTTGTTTTGGAGAGCTGCTAGTTCTGCCAAGCTGGCGCCTCTGCCTCATCCCTGCCTTCAGTTATTTCCATGACTTGATAGATGATTTGATACTCTGTCTGCAGAACACTTGGGTATTTTTAGTGTACTCCATCCAGGGTTGGAAACCATGTCGAACAATTGTCCCATTGCTGTGTCAGCATAGAAAGTACTGGCATAAATGGCCCACTAATGTGGATGCTGGGGGGTGCTTGGCATTTTTCCGACAGTGTAATAAGATGTGTTCATAGGTTTGACATTGTCTGTATGTATTTCTTGTAATACACCTCTTATAGATGATGAGATGTGCTGAAGAGGAAGAGACAAGTGGCACTAAAAACAAGTGCAAAGTGTGTCTGTTTTTTACTGAACCCTGTGCTGTCACAAATTTTGGGTTAATTGCAAAACAGCCTTGTGCATGCACAGAATGAATCACATCTGTTTAGTGTGCTCACATGCATGCAGTAAATGTGTGGCTCTGCATTTGTATTCAACCAAGCTGCAAGTGCATCATGTTCACTTCTTGATGACCCATTTAGTGTCACCAGTATATTGTGTTTTACTGTAAATAGAGATGGACCGATTGATCGGCATCGAGATCGGAATTGGCCGGTTTAGCTTGGTTGGCCATGACAGGTGACTGACGATGAGTCTGAGATAATCTGATTCTGTGCCAGTCAAATTTTCACACACACAGTGACAGAGCCCAGAAGCATGTGCAGCATGTAGCATCTTGCGTGCACCTTGTGCTCATGCCTAAAATGTGTGAATGTTCAGTCACACATTGGAAGTGCTTGGTGTACATAAACACACAGAGCCGGCTACAGAAACACCTTGGAGAAGGGAAAACCAGAGTCCAGAGCTTCAATAAATAGTACACAGGGAGGGAATTACCAGCTACGCAGTCAGGCACTCATGTCACGCTGTACCAACTTGCCATATGAATAAACAAGAGAGGATGTTCACATACCAGTGAGCCAGCATATTATATCTCACCCTTAGAATCCTACATACCAACTTAAGAAAGTGCAGTATGTCATCTTATCACATCTGCATTTGCAAGCTATAAGACTTCCTACTTTCTCTGTTGTTATTGATATTGTTCCGTCCGTCTGTGGTTTAGTGTGTCCCAGTGTCCTACAGAGCAGACTGTGATGTAATTAGCATCCTGATGTCAACATAAGTATGAGTCACAGAAGCGCTTAAATTGTTGGGCAGAGCAGTCTTTATCTCTGGGTAAAGGGATGAAAGAGACAGTAAAGAAGAGATTTCTGACAGAGGTTTTTGGCAATTAAAAGATACAGTTGGTAAAACCAGTAAGAGTTTCGTTTCAGTAGAGTTTATTTTTTTCTCATCATATAAACTTTGCTTCCTCCCACATTTTTAAATGTTCCTTTTCTTTTTCTTTCCTCTCCTGAATGTAGAAAAGGTGTTGCCATGGCAATATTTGTGTCCTTTATTTTGGCTTGCTTTACAGTCATTTACGCACTTGTTCAGCCAGCAGTCAATTTATTTAGTCAGTCCATCAACAACTCTTTCTGTCAGTAATTCCACAGGGCAGCTGGGTTTATATGGACAGACATGTCAAACACTTTTTATGTTGTATGACTACAAGGAGGTGAATAGTTTCTATTTCAGTAGTGAAGCCCATCTTGGAAAATGTACCTGTGACCATTTAGATAAGATCTTTTGCTGTCAGTCGTCGTGGGATATGTAGGGTGCAAAATGGAGAGCTGAAAGTATAAACAAACAGTAGTTAAAATCTCCTGCGAGAGAATACAGCTGCCTGTTTAGCTTTTCTGCACCTGCTGGCTTAAGGAGCTAAACAAATAGGAACACTGTGTACAGAGAATTTCCCTCTTGTCTAAAAAGAACAGCATCCAATTTTTTTCTTTCTCCCCTCTCACCCGACTGACACAATATACCACAAATATCAGACAGACCTCGCTCTTTACAGTGGTAGGACCATAGAGACCATTTTTATTGTGCAGTACAAAATAAAGTTTGACTGATGTTTCTTACTATAGGTGTCATTTTTGACACAGTAGAAGAGACTAACAGGTTGAATTTTGGGACCATCTCCAAAGTGCATTCAAAATGGCCGGGAGCACTTGTTAAGATATGTGTCAAAAGCGTGTGCAGTGTTTGTATAGAGTCTTTATTTTCATGGACCTTGTCCCATTGCATATGCAACCTCCTCTGTTCCACATGATGCAATGTGACCCAAATGAGCTACATTATATTTTTGTCAGTAGCCCATTTCTTTGAAAATAGTCAAGCCTTTTCTCATTCATAGCATTCAGTTTTTAAGACAGGTCATAGAATATGACCTAGTGGAAATCTGACCTGTATTTTCCCACTGTTGATCTTGAATATGGCTACACTTATACAACACTATGCCAAGATGAAAAGTTACACCACTGGAGATCAGCACAAAATAGGTCTCCCGGTATGATTAAGTAATTGTGCTTTCCAAATACAAAAAGAAAATCTAAATTATGATGTGGCACTTTAATAAAAGGCTCGAAAAGCAAATTAGGCTAATGAATCTCATGAAGTCTTGAAAACAGCAAATCCATCAAGAAATACACTGAAATAAACATGTTTAAACATCAGTAAGCTAAAATCAACGAGACACCGAACTGTGAGGGAGCGTTGGGCCTGTTGTTCGTATAATACAAGGCTCCTTTACATTCTCTGTTGCTATTCAGTGCTAATACTGATATAGACCAATGATTATTAAATTGAGACACTAACATTTTCTACAAGCCGAAGTGAGCGAAGATAAAGGTGATTACAGGCCTCAGTTAAAGGGAGAAAGTGTGCTTTGATAATGTTAGTGCTATTACTGGTGAGATTTTATGAAATGTTGGAAAATATTGTTTCTGACATTCTCAAACGGAAATGAGTCCCTGAGTCATTCCTCCACCAAAACATCCACAACCATCTAGGGACCCAAGGTTTGAGAATAAAAGAGAGTGTCCTCTTAGTGAAAGCATTGAAACAGCCAGTTTTTGGATGGAAGTGAATGTAAGCAATAAAAAAGTGACTCATTGTCAAAGCGCTTTTCTCCAAAGTAGTAAACCAGAGTAGAGTTACGACTAAATAATATCAGCCCAGTCACAAAAGAATGGAAAACTGCTGTCATTAAAAAAGCAATGGATCACACTACTATGTATGGGAAAAGGGTTGTTTACTGCTACAAACCCACTTTTCTCTGTGGTTCTCCTCAGGGCTACAAACTGCTTTAGCATCTTTCAGCAGGTTGTTTTGGTTTTGAAGCCCCAAATGCTACTGTTTTGGTTGAGTCTTACTGCTGTCATCAGGTTCTAGAAGCAGCATAAATCAACTAAAGAGCCAAATATTTTTCTCAAGATGGGGTGGAGACCAAAACAGAGCTAAAAATAAAGTGATTATTGGAAATGCATCCATTAGGTTAACAAAGACAGGACCCTGAATAAATGCTAATGTTGCTGCATATGTAATTTATTTATTTATTTATTTTTAATTCATAGGGTGTTAATATGTAAGTCTTGTGTTCACAGCTGATTTTGGTACCCCACAATCAGTGAATGCAGGCTTATTTTTGAAGTATTCAGTTTGGCAGATTTGGCTAGTTTAAATTGTAGCCAATCCATTCATGTCACATACGGATTGTTTTCAGTCATGTCCCCTGTCTCTCTGTCGTACTGTAGGTGGCAAGATGGGAGCACAGTACGCGGAGTCTCTCCAGGCTCTTTGGAAGCCCTTACCTGGCCTGTTACTGCCTGGGCTTCATCATCATTCTGCTTAACATCTACCGAAGCCACAGGTAAAGCACATTTCTTCCTATTCAGCTTATCAAATCCATTCAAGCCCTTTTCGTCATCTTTGTTTGTTTCAGTCCAGATAAGCTCAATTTCAATTACCTAAGTTTTTAATGAAAACTATGGCACATACTTGAGTATTGTTAGTATTTTATCAATACTGCTATTGATACACTGCTTATCGATAATAATACTCTTCATAATTAGGTTAAAAAATGAAGCTGTGGTATGAAAAGATGTGAAAGGATTTATCATTTTTTTATCATTACTGTTTTGCAGAAATAATCTGGTACTTTGACGAAACTCCTATGGGTTCTTTTTGTTATTTTTAAGATGGAAAAAAATAACAATAATTAACATGTAGGCTACACTCTTGAGAAGCAAAATGTGACACCATTGATTTGAACAAATCAGTAGACTATAAAATGATTACTGAAATGTAAAAAATCTAATGCAGGACTTTGACAGTATTTTTACTGTGTGGTACTTTGCCTCCTACCCCAGATCACATAATCCGCCCTGGCTCTGAGCGCTCTGAAACTGTTTCTGATCCACACTTCAGGTGATGCTCTGACAACTTGAATTTATAAACACGCCCTTAACAATCTGATGCCAAATGGTTACTTTTAATCCATAATCCATGTTCATATAATTTAGTTAACCCTAGCTTAAATACTGTAAATAAATAGAGGATAAAGATGTTGCATTGCTTTATTTGACAAGTCTGACTTTAGCTTCATTTGCACTCCTGCTGTTTGGTGTTTTGACGCATTTCAGAAGATTTCTTTCCCACGATAATGTAAGATAAAGGGCTACCTTATATAACTTTCTCTCAGTTATCCAGTTTTGTTTCTATCTCCACTTTAAAGCTACATCCATCAGAGCAACTCTGATAAACCTTCAGTCATCCTGTTTGGTTTTTACCATGCAGGACTCACTCATTTTGCCTTTGATTCTTTTTTCCTCTTGTGCTTCTTTCTCTCCTCATATTAGCTCTCCCTACTACTCGTTTTTCTCTTCCTCCTCTCCTTATCTGTGCTTGGGGTTCCGTATGTGCCAGTGTGACCCCATGCCCACTTTTTAAACATCACACAGTGGAAGTACACGCTCCCACACCTCCCACTATGGATCAAAATGGTGACTGAGCATAAAACCACACACATATAGTGCACCAGTGTGAGAAGACTTTTTCTCCGCTCTCATAGGATGTCTGTGATGTCTGTTGCTGGGCAACATTACTTTTGGAATAAGCTGCTTTAAATTGTCTTGCCAGTTCTTCTTGTGTCTGAAGAGAAGGTTGATCAACACTGAGTGCAGCATGACAAACTAAAAATAGTACTGACACATAATTCATTCATTCAGTAGCACAAGGAAATGCTTTTTGTTATTGCAGTATAATGATCAAGACATTCCAGTAATTGAGTTTGTGATATTTTGTTTCAGAGCACATGCACCTACCTTTCAGCACTATTATAGGAGAACTCCTGTGATATTACACATAGTGCAGAAGTTAGTATAGTAGTCATCTGTTGTATCATATCTTCTGTGCTTTGCGAGGAATTGTCAAGTCAGATAAAACAACCTCAGCTTGGAAACACAGAGTAGGCATTCAAAGTGTCATACTTTTTCACCATGTTATGTTTGCGGTGCCCTGACAGCGCCGTTGTGTTAGTAATGCAGTAATTTTAACTTTGCACCAGACTCATAAAATCCAACCGGCAGTTCTACGTTCTGCCACCAGGTGTCACAAAGCCTGGTGTTTGTGGATGCAGAAATGGCACAGTAACCTTCTGAATTGTCTGGCCATATTTCTTATCATACAGATCATCAAAAGAGTTTGTTTCCCATGGGCGTCCACGTCCTGATCATCCCCCATACATGATTGGTCAATACAGTGCTTTTGCTGGATGATGTCACTGTCCGGAGCGGTGAAAGTTGAACCAGGTCCAACTTTTTTGCCTCACAGGGTTGTGTCATTTTGCAGGAGCCCCCTCTGATCCCTGATGCTGGCTGCGGTGAATGCAATTCCTCATAGATGGATGGAGAGGGTTGCATTTTTTCACACCTTTGAAACGCAGTCTGAATGCAGCTAGAAGTTAGAAGCTCATGCACAGTTATCAGGTCTGAAGAGAGTCATGTGAAACTACACAGGAGAGAAGCCAGTCAGTTCAGTTTGTGGGAAAACCTTTTACAGTTCCTGCATATTGTCTTTTTCTACATATGATAATTCATATTCGGAAAGGAGAACTGGCATGACATTCATGACAAGATCAGTTAAAGCATTTCAAAATGCACCTGCAGCATTTTGCATTTTGTGACTGAGTTGAATTGAGTTAAACACCAGTTTTCAAGTATATTTTGTCATTGAAATTTTTTTTTTAAATAGTGTTAAAATATCTCATCTGGTGAGCTTAGTGTATCGTTACACCCCTATTCACTAGTCCGAGTCTGGAGTCAGTCAGGTACTGGTTGCCATTCAGGTCAGAAGCATGTGGGACTTGAGTGCAACTCGAGTATGAGTTGCTAGCTTGAGTGCCCATCCCTGCTACTGTGACTTTGCAATCCAGAGAAAAGCATCGCCTGAAGGACAAATCTGGGGAACAAATGACTCACCTCATGATGTTTCATAACCGGCAAGCTCCACAGCTCACACAACTGCACAGAGCAAACAAAGGGATTTTGTTTATTACATTCATTGTGTTGATTAATTTTGCTTTTGCTTAAATGAAGGTTGAACTAAAATATGTAGAAGTGATGGGGTAATAACATGTGCTCTGAGTTGTAGCCCTGAGTCAAAATGTATATATATAAAAAAGGACGTTACATTTATAGACAGGTAACAAATTAAAGGAAAACCATTGTAGGTGTCTTAGTATGGTGCTGGGCCACCACGCGCCACCAGAATAGCTTCAGTACTTCTCTGTATTAATTTTACAAGTCACTGAACTCTACAGCATTCTTCCCTCATCTGGTGTTTTGATGATGGTGGTGGAGATGCTGTCTAACATGTTGCTCCAAAATCTCCCATAGGTTTTCACCTGGGTCTGTGAAGGCCATAGCATGCGATTCACATCATTTTCATACTCATCAAATCATTCAGTGACCCCTCATGTTACATGGACAGGGCACTGCCATCCTGGAAGAAATGCTCCGTGCAATATTTTAACCTCATCACAGTGGAGATGAAATTAAAGATAAAACTGCACAATTTAAGGCTAGATTGTGGTTATGTGAAATCACCAGTGTAGTTCCTTGTGTGTCTTGCTGTTGTAAACTCTGCTGTAAAGCTTGTCATTGTGAGAAACTCTGTGTGACTCCCACACTTAATCTTCCTTTCCTTTCCTTCATACATATCCTCCTCCTCCTGCAACCAGCCATCTTTCTTTTTTATTTTCTGAAAAGTAGATAGAGCAGATATGGCTTTGACTGCAGACTGCAGTCTGTCCTTTATTCCCCATCATCTGATACCATAATCCCTCTTACATACACCACAGTCATAAATGTCATAGAAAACAAGCTGTGCTCTACAGGAAAGAAGTGCAAACATAAATGAAGTAAAATGACAAAATCATGCATCAGCGAATAATTTTAAAAGAAGGTTTTCTTGTGTTTCTAGAAGCTTCATCAGCTGTGACACGTCATCAATCGTAATAGTACAAGCAGGGGCCAGTCATGCCCACTAACCCCCTGCTCACATCTCCGTCCCACAGACCCACTTTCCCATCTCTTCCAATCTAAATCCCAGCAGTATGCCTGGCCAAGTCTGACGTGGCATTGCAATACACTGCATCACATTAAACTTCCTGCCTCCTCTGACAAAGGAAGAACACCAGAGGACTCACAGTACAGACCCTGTAACCCAGTTTTCTCTTATTAGCCCCAAACCTAGTATTGATGAAGGAGCCATTTTTATCTGCAGGTGTTAACATTCACAAACACACAAAGCTGCATCAGAACCAGCACCTGTGTAGGTTCCATTATAGTTTTGTGTGTTAAGAACCCTTTCACCACCACAAAGACCATTGCCATGAAATTTTTATGTATCCGTATCTAGTGGGTGGAAAAGCACAACATTTTGATCCCACTGTTTTTATTCTAGCACCTTCATCAGGTCTAATCTTCAGTTTGTCCAACACTTTGTTTCATGACAAAATACCTGCAAAATTACAGCCTTAGCTCTAAGTTTCAGTTCTTGCTGTTACCACTTGAATCTACTATAAAAGTCTTATGCACATTTGGGTCCATTCATTATTAATTGATCATTATACAGCAATAGTCATGCAGTTTAATATACAGTAACACACTGGTTAAATAAAGATGATTCGGACTTGTTTTTTTTTCTGCAGTATGACAATGGCAATGAAGGCCCAAGCCAGGTGGGAGGTGATGGACAGGACAGGTGTCTTCTATGCTGGGGTAACTCTCATGGTGCTGGGGACTCTACTGGTGGTCAGCAGCTTCCTTGCTCTGGGATTCACTGGAACCTTCCTAGGTGGGCATTAAATATATATTCAAGTGGCTGCCGATTTCACTTTCTGAAAACTAGTGATTATTGTGATGGTATGAGGGTTTTTTTTGCAGTTTAAAAGCACTTCAGAGAGTTACTGAAGTTACATTATATGGCCTGGTTTCTCAGCATGGACTTGGAAACAAACATTCAGCCAAAAACCCTTGTTACAAACTAGGGATGGGGACAATGGCTTTAGTGTCAGATTACCACTTTGGTCCAGACTGAAACATCTCAGCAACTGTTCGGGTAATTACTGTGAAATTTGTGATCCCCAGAGGACAAGGCATATTTTTGTAAGTACTGTACCACTACTTTTGTGATCCCCTGACTTTTTTTCTAGCACCGCTGTGAGACTGATACTTCTGGGTTTCAGTGTGCATCTTGACAGATATTGAATGACTAGCCAAGACATCTGGTACACACAGTCTCTTTAGGATATGATGTAATATGGTGATCTCCTGTCCTTTTTCTGTGTTGTGTCATCAATTTTCAGTTTGTCCAATATGTCAGTTTGGAAATAAGTACCTGGAAAATGAATGACAGTCTCATCAGTCTCAGCATTACTTTGTGCTTATTGCTAATTAGCAAATAATGGTGATGAATATGGTGCAACTGTAAATGTAGTTATTTCTAACATGTGCTGGTTATTAAATGTGCATCATATTGTGGAGAATGGGCTTGAATGAAGTTTGTTGAGTAGCAGTCAGCTGTCTAGTGTTTAACATGTTGTATGCATAGAAGCCCAGTAAGTTGTTTTTTTTTTTTTTTTTTACAAATTTACTTAAGTCGTAGTGTACTACTTATTATAAATACCTAAAGTATAACAGCCTAGTACAATAATATCACTAAACTGACTAAATATCACTAAAACTAACATGAACTTTTTCATCCATAGAATGGAAACATGCACATTGTCAGAGCAGTTTTAAACATGCCACCTATGCACTTAAAGTGCATGTTATCATGCTCAGACCAGTTGATAGAGCCTCAAAGCCTATGCTGTTTCTGAAGCAAAACCAAGAAATGTAAATGAATTGTGGAATGTTGTTAAAGAATCATGGAGTGTAATAACAGCTGAAAGGTGCCACAAGTTGGTTGACTCCATGCCACACAGATGTGAAGCAGTTATAAAAAACTGTGGTCATACAACTAAATATTAGTTTAGTGATTCACAGGATTGCTAAATCCTAGAAACAAAAACGTTTGTACAAAATAGTTTTGTGTTTGTACAGTCAACGGCAGACACTGCTATTTTTTTGAACACACCCCTTTCAACTAATTGCCCAATTGCACAGCCTTAAGAGCGTGCATATCATGAATGCTGGGTCTTGTTTGCTTTCTGAGAATCTACTGCACCTACTGGTAACTTGTTTGCCATGTAGCAATAAAAAATATACTAAAAACCTGGATTATTCTGATTAGTCACATTGTACTGCTATTATTTTGAACAATACTGTATGATATGTGTTTGACAAGGGTTCTAACTTAATGTTAGTTTTGTTTGATCCCAGACCTTTTCCTCAAGCACTGCCGACAAAAAAAGACCACTAACACACAAAACCATCATTTAGGAAATTCACTCAGCATAGTCATGCTCCTCAGGAGATGAATCCTTTCTCGTTTGGACAGCATGTTTTCCTCCAGTGCAATGCAGAAATCTCAGCTCTGAACAAGATATATGTTCTGTAATCTAATCTAAAAGATATATTGCCAATAAATAATGCTGTCAGCTCTAGATAAAGATCAGGGAATGAATTAAAAATGTAATACCTCAGCTGTGGGATGAGCTCATTTGCCATATTCTTTTGACATACTATAGCCCCCATAGCGATTATTTTACATAATGTATTTAGTCACAAAGTATTTTACTGAGTGTTTGTATGTTCTCGTGTATGTGGGGGGAGATTTTTATGCTACACCGTGATTTACCAGCACTTTGTGTCCATAGACACCCACAAACATACACACACTTATTGGAGGACATAGCCTGAGGGTATGTGATGTAATTTGATATGTCTTATTTGTGGTATATTAGGCCCCATGAGACACCATGACCTGATGATTCACGGTGAAGGCACAGGTGCAGAAGCAAAGGTCCAAACACAATCGAATTGCACAGTGTTAACATGTTGGCCAGTTGGCCCAAGCTCCTTACCCTGATCCAGTGGTGGAAAGTAACTGTACATTTACTCAAGTACTGTACTTAAGTACAGTTTTCAGGTGTCTGTACTTTACTTGAGTATTTTCATTGTTTGCTACTTCATCTTTGACTTCACTACATTTTAGAAGCAAATATTATACTTTTTACTCCAATACATTTATTTTATAACTTTACTTTTCAGAATCAGATTTGTTTTGTACTTTTCCTTAAGTAACATTTTGAATGCCAGACTTTTTTAAATATTTGTAACAAAGTATTTTTACACTGTAGCATTGCTGTTTTTACATAAGTAAGGGATCTGAGTACTTCTTCCACCGCTGCCCTGATCACATCTTACTGATCAAGGACCCACTCCTGTAACGTCTAGGCTACCATAGTGCTACTGTTCTTCAACAAATCCAGGTTGGCCATTTTCATAACCACAATGAAACAACAGTGGCGCAGGAACAGGGGAGAAAAATGGTATGTTCTTCTTTTAAATCTAAATGGGTTAAAGGTGGTCACTTTGCAGGTCAAAAATGAGGTTATCATATTCTGACAGCTGATTCTCTGTTCAAAACCAAATGTGTTTGTTTACATAATCTCTTTTTTATCTTGCCCTACCTGCAGTGTTTATATGAGCATACCATGTACATAATGAAAATTGTTATATAATTCAGGTGTCAACAGCCTTTCTTCAGGAAACGGGGCCAGCACCACCACCTGTGTAATTCAACAGGTTGGTGTTACCTACTGGAAGCTTGCTTGTGTGCACGCTTAGTATTACTCACACTGTGGGGACTCGTCCTTCCTCCTGGGGGCCACATGATGACCCCACCATATAAATCATTGAATTTTAGTGTTGACTTAGTTTAAGTAACCACATAAGGGCTGGGGTTAATTTGTGAATGTTAAGGTTATGGGAATCCATTATTTAAGAGTGTCCCCACAGAGACAGCTATATGGATTTGTATGTGTTAACAAAGGAGGCATAAGAGTGGTATTTGGCTTTATTGTATTTTTGTCATAAGATGTTGTGTTAACATGAGCAAGATATTCAGGACCCCATTCTGAGAATCAACAGTGCCTGATCAAAATGTATTAACGCAAGTGGTGTTTAGGTGTGTCCATGTTCATTTCGGTAATTTGACGGCAAGGAAAAACAGTTCCAGCGCCCGTGCGAGTAGAAAAAGAGCTGTACTTGATCTCTTCATTAAAGCAGAGGTGTGTTTTGGGCATAAAATGCAATTATCCAATCAGTGTGTAACCTCACATCCCATTTAAGAGACATATGAGTTTGAACGTTTGGCAGGTTGCTAGCATACTGGTGGACTTGCCAGGTTTGGGTTCAAGCTATAACAAGCACTATGCACGAACATTGTGCACACATCAAAGCGCCCATTAACTAGCAAGGATGATTTGACTGTTGCCCACAGACCTGGTTTTTGCTGGTCAGTGGCGCAGTCACTTTGTGCACCCTCATATTACCAAAGCATCCAAAATATACATGGAAACACCCCATTTTCATCCGGACACACCTGCCAGTGCGAAGTCAACAGACTGCTGCTTTGTAAAAAGGCAACATGATGCACATGGCATGAAAACAGTAATGGCACAGGTAGGGAATTAGGTAACACAGATGTGCTACCTGCACCGCATGCTATGCATTTGTTGCAAGATAGGGCCCTAAATTGCTGACTACAGTAACCCTGAAACTAACAACCTTTGGATCTTTTTAAGTGGCTATTAGCACTCACTGTTGCTTTGACATTGAAGAATGCCTTGTCTTTCATCCCTCAAACAACAGCATTATTGACCCATTCACATCTAAAATCCATATAGCTGTCTGTAACACTACTTTTGCTGCTTTTGTAAGCTTTTGTCCTGGCATCGGTGTAAAGGGAGGGATTCTCCATAAGACACACTGTATGTAAACACTGCCAAAGTTGGGCTCTGACAGGGACTTTGCTGTTGCGGGACTTAGCTATACACACACAAGGTGCAGGGCAGAGGTCATTCACAGCAGGCGGGTGGATAAGTCCTGCTGCCTGGCTGCATTCACATAAAATCCTTCCTGCTGGGTTGTCTAGGGGTGTGGCCATGAAACAATCAGAAAAAAAATCACATTTTGGTTACAAGTGTTGGTACAGTGATCTAACGTTAACTCCAGAGTTTTCCCATGAGGTCTTATTGTTGACATCAGTAACAGCCAGGTGACAGTGAAGCCGCTAGACAGTGTAGCATTAACAAGGCTGTGTGAGCCACAGTTTCCTAGAAGTGCATCCTCAGTCTCACTTTAGTGTCTGCTGCTGTTTTATGAGGAACATGTCAGAATGATTCTACCATTGCAATCACACCAAGTTTGTCTGGTCCAAGTTTACAACAAGGCATCAAGGTCTATGGCACAACAAGACACAACAAACAATCAAACACTGGGCAGGTTGGTGTGGCCGATGGCTGCTCATCAGAGACGTAGAGCTCCAGAGTCAGGGCAACCTGCAGAAAGGTACAGGGAGAGAGAAAATGAACAGAATTTGACCATGAAATGCAGTGTTTGTGTCCAATAAAGCCAAAAATCTCTCATCTGAGCTTGTTTACATTAATCTGCTGTGTGTGTGTGTCTGTGTGTGTATTTTCAGGTGATTACTTTGGCATCCTGATGGATGAGAAGGTGACAGGCTTTCCCTTCAACATCATAAAGAACCCGATGTACTGGGGCAGCACTGCCAACTACCTTGGCTTGGCGCTCATGTAAGTGTATGTTTGTGTATGTTTGTGTGTGTGTGTGTGTGTGTGTGTGTGTGTGTGTGTGTGAGGGGAGGTCACGTTCAAGACTACCTGTGGTCAACAAGAGTGTAATTTAAATTTAATGAGTCTGCTGAGGTTTGTAGCTAAATGGGTGCTCATCAAAGCTGCCATTTGAGAAGTTGTTAACACATTAAATAGCACACAGTTAAAGAAAAATGGCCCCTGCCTGGTTGGTGTGTGCTGATGTAAATCAAACGGCATTCTAAATTAAGTGAGGCTCTGCATAAACAGCTCAGATAACAAGCTGCGACTTCCAAATGGAAACAGCTTTCTCCGATTTGCAAATCACTTCCCTCTTGATAAATGATGTGGAGGTAAAATCTTTTGTGTCTCGTCTCTATGACAGCTGTGACCACATCGCTCAGAGCACAGTGTGTGTAGTTGCTAGGTGAGCACTCCAGGTGTTGACAAGCTAGATGCAAATAAAATCTATTTAGCCCCCCAGTCCTCCTCACACAAATGTATGTGGATGCCATTCCTGACTTCTTCTGCCTCTGTAGTCCTTTTTGTAGTGACTAATTTTACCCTATTTCCTCTCTGCTTTGAACTGAATTCATTTGTATTCAGTCTCTTCTGTACTACAAGCTCTGAGTGATCCAAATAACAATCGCCTCTTTTCCAGTGCCACCATTTTTCTGCAGCTCTCTTTCACCTGTGTCCCTCCAAATACCTCAGGTTTTCTCCTCCCCTCTTTTGTTCAGTCAAGTGAGAGACAGTAGCAGCGTCTGCCTCCGCCTGTTGTCTATATTCTTTGTCTGTGGTTGTTCTAAGGATCTACAATTAAAGAAATAACAGTTCTGAAAATAAGTCTGTGGTTTAACCCCTTGTGATCTGAAGCAGATATGCTGCTGTGTGTATCTACTGCAGTCAGCTATTACTGTACAGGGACAAGGCAGATTTCAACAGAACTTGATGACAGCATAAATGCCAATTGGAATGAATCTGTGTCCATTTGCATAGTCTTTTTGAATTTTGACAAACCAGTGTCAATTAAAGATACACTTACTTGTGGAGTTTTCAACCATAGAGTCTTGAAGGTCAGCAGAAAGAGTTCACTTTTCTCTCCCATGGTGGCTTAAAGCTGCAATATTTTTATATTAGCAGTGTGACTACTTTTATGTGAAATGGGTGATGGACCCACATAGCATGATCCCCAGTTCTGCAGTTTTAGCATCTTGTGATTCGTTGTTTTGGTTTTCCAGCCCAACTAGACTGTTTTGGTTCTATCTCACTGCACCTTGGAGGATCTTTTCTTTTCCTTCTTGTTAATGGATCAGGTTAACTGACATCATGCTGCTGCCAGTGTTTGTGTTCTCTCTCTGTTTGGGTCTGTTTTAGCTGACTTCAGACCTCTACCCTCAAGTGGTCAAAAACTCAGTTAGTGAAGATTTAATGGTGGTTTTCCGTCAGCACCAGTCAGTGCTGCTGAGCCAAGGCGTGCATGTGCTGAGCTGCCCTCGAGTCAGCATGGCTGTTTCCACTGCATTGTTTAGCTTCCACATCTTGATGACATGGAAGTGGCTCGAGCTGCTGAGAAGTGACACACAACTCGTATTGTTGATCTGGTAGTACTAGCTTGCAACATGGAGCCCTTGGCGCTAGGTGTTATTGTAAACCCTCATCAGAAGACCAGGTGAAAGGTTCCATTTTCAAATCCTGAAATAACAGATGAAAAAATCTAAGCTGAATGCATAGTGATGTTCCCTTTATGCAACAATTCAGCCAAGTGCGTGTCTGGATAAGCTGGCTTTATTGAAGGTGGAGCCCGGCCCTACTCAGCCCAGCAGGGCCAGCTGAACCCAAGTCGGCACAGTTGCCTGTGCCCGCCTGGCTCTGCACAATTAAAGCAGGGTGAGCTGTGCTGATGGAAGAACACCATAAGTTTGGCCTGATACTTCTTGCCCTTGTAAAAGTCCAAAAAATGTTCAGACAAACTCAAAGTTTTAAGACTTTTTTAAAAGACTTTTAATATGATAAGAACCATGTGATGTATTTCAAAAGCTGCATAACCGGATCATCAGTGCACCTTGAGTCAATACTGTTTATCAGCAGACATATTGTATGTACCACGTTAAACTGCTGTTTGTGTAGTTTATGTACATGCTCATCAGTACCACTACAGTGCCACGAGTGGCCAAAAACTCCAGAGGGGGCTTTAATATAAATCATTGCTATATCTTCACCTTGGTGATTGTTCTTGTTGTCTCTCGTCTGCTATTGGTATGTACATATTTCTGATGTGAAATGCTGTAAACCTTCCATGACTGTCTTCACTGACTGACAGTACTCTGTCACATCCTTAAACACATACACGCAAAGAATAGCCCTGCACTCGTTCCAGCTACAACTGAAGCTCATGAGAAGGGATAAACAAAGTTTACCCAGATACACAAACCCACATTCAACCCCTTCAAGTCCCTCGCTGTGCCAGACAAACTTTTCCACACAATAGGTCACTTACAGGCCTGTCTGTGACCAGGAGAAGAGGTTAGCTGACACACATTAGCAGATACACTTCAACTAATATATGAACACAAGCTGGACTCCTGCTGCTAAATAAATAAAATGGGAGCTGCATGATGCAATTCCCTTGTGTGGTTACATCTCCTATAATTTTGAATGGAAAACGGCTCCAGAGAAAGACTATGGCATCAAACGAGTAGTCCTAAAGTAGTCCTCTGATTTTTACTCTCTCTGGGTTTTTCTACTCTCTGTACTCTATTTAGTAGCACTTTATCATGCAGCAGCGTGTACTGTATATGTGCAAATGTTTAAAGAAAATGTATTGGGATGCAGGAGGTACTTTTCAGGAATTCATCTCGCACATACTGTATCTTCTGTTTACAGACCACGTAACAGTTCTGACTTAATTCACACTTTATTTGCAAAGCTGTGAGTCTGTTTCTTCTCAATTTATGACCTTTGATTCTGCAGAAAATATGGGACTATTACTAATATAAATATGTTTTACTTTTAGTTCTATGACATCTGCTGCTGCTGATGATCAGGATAATAAATGCTACAAAAGGTTGATTATGCTATAGCTTAAAGCAGCAGTGAAGCATTTAACTATTTTAGCTGTTTATCCCTGTCAGTTTGCTCTTTTTAGTCCCATTTTTAAGAAATGCACACCAGTTCAGTCTACAGCAGGAAATTTAATATGCTTTATCACCAAAATATTACCAGAGTGATTAACAGTGTGGTGAATGCTGCCTTTCAGCTCCATCGTGGACCATTATCATGTGCTGAGCTTGTGGGGTGAAGCAATATCTTTAAGCAAGAAAGAACAACAGTGCTCTGACTTTCTAAATGCCACTTTGCTGCAGGCAGAATGGCACTGCTGCACTCCCTGTGTCTGTTCAGCTGATATTACAGTGTGTTTAGGTGGAGAGTGTAGCAGCAGTAGGAGAGTTCAGGCATAAATCAAATATATCTAACGACAGCTTCATGGACACCGGATACATTGATAGTTATGTTTCCTACAGCATCTATATTTCTTTCACATCACCCCTTAAGAGAAGTATGGTTCCACATTTATATTTTTGTTTTCCTTCACTGACACAAGAAAGAGAAACTAATTATACAACATCAGTAGATCTCTGCTTTCACTTTTTCATGATATGTTTATTATTGAGGTCATAGTTAAACGTTATTTATGACAATTTCACCAAAAACCTAAACATTTTGAGCTTCATAAACACAGATGTTAAGGTGGAAGTTTTGCATTGAACTGCATACAATTGTATAGGTGTACCTAATAAAGTGGCTGGTGAGTGTATGTGTCTGAGATATATTGACAGACCTGGAGTGGGTACTCCACTGAGAAGTGTTTCACAGATCCTATACCTGTTGTTGTGCTGTAACCTAAACTCAGTAACATCTGCATTACTGTGTTTCTCTCACTCTGTCTACAGTGGCGCCAGTCCTGTTGGCCTTGTTCTGACTGCCATAGTAGGAGTGGCTTACAAGGTGGCATTAAGATTTGAAGGGTAAGTCTTTGACTTTAGTTTGTCAATAAAATGAAAATAAAATAAAGGCAGATCAGGCAAATAACATACTTCATGTAGTGTAGTGTAGTGTGAATGCAAAATTGTCTGTAAACATTTGTCATTTTAATTATTAGATTAATACAGAATTAATATTACATCTATTTTAATTTGAATTCAAATCCAAAACTTGATGAACTTTAGGCTGAACAGTAGAAACCTGACTGTCTTTTAAATCTCCCCACACACCAGAAGTCCTCACAGGTGTCTAGTAACCAAGATGCAACCTGGAACCCAAGTTGGGCAGTGTCCAAATTATATTCACTATTACTGGGTCTGCATAGGGTTACATTTTATTGCCACAGATTATGGGTCTGTATCAATATTCCCAAGGTATAAGTTATACGAGACACTCAAGTGTCTCATATTTGGATAAAATCTGGATGTCATTTGCAGACCTGCCAACCTATACACATTTTGCTTAGCATTTTGACATCAAAGTACACTGGCATGATTTGTCACTCTAAAATACACAAAAAGCTCGGGACACCTTGTGAATTTGACCTGTTGTGCAGTAACGTTAAAGTCTATCCCAGCAAGCATTCAAGCCATAAACAAAGGTCTTCCTCCCAAAAAGAAAAAGAAGAAGAGTTGAGTTCAACCAATCATAGCGCCGAATTTGGGATGACATACTGTAGCTTTAATGTCTTTTCAAGAGACAGTAGCTACTGTAGGATTCGTAAACTGACACAACGACAGAAACATTCTTGAGCCCTCCTCAGTCTGGCTGGTTGGTTCCTTAAGTGAGGATGGTTCTTTGAACTCCTTTCAAAAAGTTAACATTTTTGGGGGATGTGGACAGTTGAGACTGTGAGTTTAGTTAATGTTAGCCTAATGTTGCACATATACTGTATTTTATATGTATATGTGAGCTAGCTTGTGTGTTCACTAATCATTTAAGCTCATCATTAATCATTTATGGTCCATGTGTCACAGATGGGAGGTAACCATTGTGCAGCAGCAATGTCCTTGGTCAGGAGTGAATAAAGCCAAAGTTAGCTAAAGAAAACACTGTGTGTCTCATTGTAATACGAATTAAACAGTTTGGTTCTTAATAATAAGCCTGTACACACAAATAATAGAAAAATAAAAGACTGCAGTCAGCTTGCCTCTGGATAGGTTAGCAGAGTAATTCACATCAGAACAAAGTTTAAGAGACCAGAATCAGAGAAAATTACAAGTGAGCTCCACAGCAGAGCTAAATTGAAAGGTTCGGGTGGCAGCATGATTCTGTGTTCAGTTTTGACTTTTTTTTTAAAATATCTGATAGCTGATAGCTAACTGATCAGCCAAACATATATGAAGTGATTAGGTGTAGCAGATTCAAACACTACAATTAATTAATTATATGTTCTATGAAGTGATTAGGTGTAGCAGATTCACACACTACAATTAATATGTATATGTTTTGTTGTTGTTACTTAATGGTAAAGTGGGAGCATCCACTTATATTTCTGCTGTGGCCTAGACACACTAGCTTTGCAAGTGATTTATCTACACAGGTAAGTGGGGATGCCATTCAAGTTAACAAGGCCATCTGGGTTGGACCATTCTACTTCCACCCCTCTTCCTCCTCTCTTGTGCTTTCTTCTCAGACGTCATCTTCATTTAATCAGGACATCCATTAGTTCTGCAAAAAGCAAAAGTCGAGAACAAAAAGAAAAGCATGGAAGGAGGTGACTGCATCTTTTTCCCAAATGCATTAAAGTCTTGTTGGTTTGTTATTTTCCTCTTACGTCCCCCTCCACCTCATCCATGATGATTACAAGACAAGACCTAAAAACGGTTTCAAGTGACCTACTTCTGGACATCAGTCTGCACAGACGCATGCATGCAGAAAAACACTCCCACATGCACAGAGAAATATACAAACATGCTGCTACTACATAAGGTGGCCACAAATAAGGCAGCGCTTGGCATGGACACAGCTGCTATGTGCACTTACTCATCAAGTCCATTGTGTCTGTGTATGTGTGATGCCCTTTCATCGTCAGTTAGGTGTTTGTATGTATGTACGTGTCTGTGGAACGTATTACATTTCATGATTAAACTGCAAACTACTGGCACAGTAATGCTCCATAGTTACACGTGGTTTACCATCACATATTACTCTGCCACAGCTTATAATGTTGAGCACTTACATTGATAGTAGCACGTAGACAAATGGTGGAAAATTGATTGGCTTGCAAGATGACAACTATTTTTATCACATATATAAACTCAAGCACACACACAGGCACAGGAAAATTAGTGTTGACCAATTCAGATACTAGAGCGGACATTACTTCTGGCAAGCCTTTTTTATCCATCTTTTAGCTCATTGAGCCCCTGGAGTTTACTTTGGTTGTTTTGGTTGGTCGTTTCACATCCTCTCACCCATATTGGTGCTACTAAATACAGTAAGTCACCAGCTGTTGGCAAGAAAAGGCACCACCGCCGATTCTTTCAGGAGTGGTCTCGTGTGTGAAAAATAAATGAAAGTTGACCTCGACAGTGACAGGAACACGCTCCCCTGAAAACGCCACACATTAACTCGTGCTGTTAGAGCACAGGTGGACATGTCGCTGCAGCACTTTCCACCACCGCTGAGCCACAAATGTGTCATTTAGCTGGAACCTGTGAATTAAAGATAAGGCAGGTGCTACATTTTACCACACACTGCAACTAGGAAGAGATTCAGATCCTATATTCAGATCCTATATCTATGCTTCTAGCATCGATTCAGAATGATCTCATTTGGTTAAACTGTGTGAGGATGCTAAGGAGTATGTTTGGGTATTAGCTCACACAGTTACTTCAGTAGGTACGTAAAAGCACTGTCAGAAACCATGTATTCTGTAAGTGACTGGTAGCCAGTGTCAGGATATAAGAACATGAGTGATGTGCTCAGTTCTCCTGGTTCTTGTTAAAATTCTGGCAGCACCATTTGAATGAGCTAGAGTTGTATAACAGTCTTTTTGGGAACACCAGACAAAAGGCTGTTACAATAGTCCAGTCTGCTGGAGATGAAGGCATGAATGAGTTTCTCTAAATCTTGTCTAGACATGAGACCTCTGAGTCTTACTATTTGTTTCAGGTGATAAAAAGCTGATTTAATTATGGCCTTGATGTGACTGGTGAAGCTCAGCTCTGTCAGTTACGACACCAAGATTTCTAACTTGAACTTTTGTCTTTATAGCTGTAGAATCAAGCTGATCAGTAACGTCCATCCTTCCCATCTTGTTGCTAAAAACAGTAGCTTCAGTCTTGTCTTTGTTTAAATGAACTTTAATTGCACTCAAGTATTTACTTGCTCTAAGCACTGACAGAGTGAGTCTAAGGGACCACAGTCATTTAAAGACATGGCTAAGTAAATCTGAGTGTCGTCTGCAGTGAAAATGGGACAAGATGTCTCTAAGCTGTACTACACTTCTCTGTTTCCAGCTTCTTTATCCTGTGCTGTCAAAGTACCACCCATAAATTAGCCCCGCCTGCCACCTAGTGAAGATTATAAGCAACTTTTCAACCACAAGTAGTGTCTGTAGTTCCTGTCATAATTATATTCATGTTTCCCCTCACTTGTGTCTTTACCTTGCATCTTAGTCTCGCCCGTGAAAGATGCAAGAGAAGAGGAATCAAGGAAACATGTTTTTAGATACATATCGTCTGATCCTTCATCTGAAGCATCCGACCACCAACTGAACTCTGACAAAGGGGCATCAGTTCATAAAAGTTACTGCAAAGGATGCACTGGTGTATCCTCGCTTATGGCTCCTCCAGGCAACCTTCTCCATCCTCAATCGAAGAGTCTCGGGATGTCCTCGAACTGGAAGTTATTCCAGTGGGAAATCTGGATTTGCCCCATTGTTTTCAGAAATAGGACAGGAAGAGCAATGAGCACTAATGAGTGGCTTATGGTGTAGGTTTGTTCTAGAAACCCTTGGGCAGCTGAAAAAAAATGTGGTAGAGTACCTTTAAATATTAAAGGCTTTTAAAGTATTTGTTATTCATGATTCAGCACATGCTTGTGATGATACACTTGGACCATGATGTAGTATCCCAGTAGCCTTCACAGTATTGTCATGTTACACATGTACAGTTTTTCCAACAAATATTCCACAGTGTAGTCTTCACCCTTCTCATTTGTATATGTGGATCAGTGCATGTGCAACAGAGTGGAGGAACATGTAGAGACATAAGGCATTTTCCTGTCACACACACACATGTACTCAGCTGTTGTCACGGGTCAGCAAACACGTTCCTGGCACAGAGTGGTACAGTGATCCTGTCTTTGATTTTATTGTCCTATTATATGTTTGTTCTGCTGTATTTACAGACCGTTCACGGAACAGATCTATCAAGAAAGGAGTCGGCATCACAAGCATGAATAATCGCCTCCCTCCCAAATGGCTGAGGATTCCCATCCGGTCACGTGGACACACAGACTTCCCAGTTGTTTTATGTTCCTCTAATGAATGTGAAAGCTACATGGAGCCATTTTTATAATGTATTTCTGGACCAGGTGGTTATGGCATTCGTTATTAAGTTGTGGAGACCTGGTAAAGGTAATGGTTTGTATTGTGAGAATCGGTCTAATTTGCTTTCTTGAAGAGATTTAGATGAGAATATTGATGCCACTCTGATGCTTATAGCTCCTTTTACACTGTCCGTTCAAGGTGGGATTATTGCACCACTTTTCCACCATGCTGTTCTGTATAGAAGGTACCAAGCTGGCATAAGGGATCAATATTGGCCCTCTTTTATTCTTCCATGAGGGGTAGTAAAATTGGTGCATCTGTTCTGCCTTGGCCTCTGTGTCCCTCCTCTGTTGATCCACCATTGTTGGTTTGAAAGCAAAAGTGTTTGTATTCCTGATGTGTGTGTTATATGTCACACTGGATGTCAAGTTAAACATCACGCCTCTATTAACAGGATGTGGGTATCTGTAAAAACAACCCAGGGGTGGCATTATGCCAGATTTTTATAGTTCTTTGTAAATAGGCAAAGCTGCAATAAAGACAGGCCATCTTAACACCTATATCATGAATCTCTCTAAAAGATGCATGTGAGTGTAGTATGGCATTAGAGCCAGGAGGTAATTAGCGTAACTTAACATACAGTAAATGTTGTAAATGGGTGGTAATGACTTGTCCTGGTCTCTCCAAAATTCTAAAATACACCTACCAACACTTCTAAAGCTCAATAATTAATATGTTGTATCTCTTTTTTTTTTATCTGGACAAAAACAGAAAGGTGAAAGCGTCATTTTATGGTTTTACAGGGGCTTATGTTCTGTTTTCTGGCTAACAATAGCCAGACTTCTAGGAGGTAGTCAGCATCATGCAGTTAACTAGCGCCTAGCACAGACACTGTGCAGAACCGCTGGACAAATGGATAAACTAGTGTTGTAGTACTGGAGTCCAACTCGAGTCCAGCTTTTCAGGACTCGTGACACAACTTGCACTTGAGCACACATGTCTCGGACTTGAACTCAGACTTGAGCGTTGACCGCATTCAAACTTGGGAGTTGGAAAGGAGGACTTGGAATTTGTTTTTTGTAATATGCTATAATACTTTGGCCTAAGATATTGATATTAAAACATGTTGCTGCGCCATGCTGTATCCACTTCCATCAAACTGTACACTCTACCGTATCAAATTGCTGAGCAATATGGTGATGCAATACTGTTAGAACATTTTGAATATAAAATGGTGAGAGCTGTGTCAGTTGTGTTTAACATAGATCTCTGATGACTGACTCACCTTGGGGTCAACTCAGATCGTACTCGGGGTTTGGTGACTTGACTACAACACTGGGATAAACTGTTGTTCATCAATAAACAGTTAAATAGTTAGAGCTTCCACTCTTTATGTTAAGCCCGGCTAACCACCTCCCAGCTTTGGCTCCATACTTGATACGCAGATATGAGAGTGGTTTCAGTATTCTCACTTAACTCTGTGAAAAGGACAATAACTGTAACTATTATAAATAGTTTGTGCTCACATATTGTATTACTGTATATTAATGACCCAGTGAGGTTAAAGACTTGTGTGATGTTGATATTGTTCCAGATTAATCCTGGTGTTTGTGTGTTACTTTCTACTTTGTATTTCTTTGTGAACACAAATGTCATTTTGACTGATCATATATCTCAGTTTCACTATTTACTAACTTCCCAAATAATCAAAAAATCCTCGTTTTTATATACACAGTTCCTACACAGTGAATACATTTACTGGCTGCTTTGTGTTAGATTTGAACTGTTTGTCTGCTGTGATCATTCTGGATCAGCTAGTGTGAAAAAAGCCACATAGTGTTCTTCAAAGCAGAACAAAAAAGAATTAAGGGCCATGTAGACCTCAGCTCAGCAGTTCTGTTCACAGAAAAAAATCAATTAGGTTTTTATTCTACAAAACAAATTCATGTGAGATAGCCTTCAGCACTGCCGTTCTCCTTGTAACCACTGAATTCATTACTCGGTGTTATATGCAGTCCAGATCGTTGCGCATTTTTTGTCCTTCAGGCTCTGTGCTTCAGCATTCGGTTTTAATGCACAGTGCCCAAGGTTCAAGAGTAATTGGACACTTGGTCAGCTGTGAGGCTTTTTTTTCAACATTACTTCATACAAAAGAAGGCACACATGTGGCCTAGAGTTGATTGAGAGTTGCCACTTGCTGTAGATTGAGCTGGAGCTATCTGTCAGTATGAGAAGGGATTATGACTGCACAGTAAGGAGTGGTGGAGCATCACCACGGAGGAAAGTATCTGTGGTTCTGTGGATCTATAAACAATCACTGACTGCAAAGGATTTTTGCATAAAAATATTTGTCCAAATGCATAAACAATGCGTAACACAAAAACCGTGCGTACGACCTTTCCCACGCATAAACAAGCATGTACAGTATACACACAGAAACTTTAGACCATGCACGGTTTGAGTAGGTGCAATATGGTCATGTGGGACTGAAAATTAATTGAGGCAGCCAATTTTACACAGCTTGCATAATTTTTTAGCTTTTTACATATACTTCAGTTCATAAATTGAATTTTTAAACAGCGTTTATGTTGGTCTGGGGAATTTTCTATTTCATTTGCCTTAATAGCCTTAATTTTCTTGCTTTTCCTTTTAGACTTTCTGTAAATTGCTGATATTACTGTCATTAATTCAGTTTCATTTAATGATGACTGAGACACCACTTACTGTAACAATAAGCATTTATTTACACGTGATTAAATTACAACAAAAAGCTGTAGCTGTGCGTAATGGTCGTGCATAGGGATGGCTGTTCTGGTGTTACTGGGGGATCTTGACAATACCCTTATAAGACGTTCATCTGCTGTAGATAATGCAGGGGGTGCCGGTTCTTCTCTAGTTGTTCTCTTGCTCGCTCACAGTCATTGAAATTGCGAGTCTTCATTGGAAGCTACACAGTTTTATGCACCTGGCCCCAGATCTTTGGGCTCTGTGATAAATGGACCAATGGCAGTCGTTCTCAACCAGAGCGCTATCCAGTGGGCCAGGATTAAAATTAAAATAAAATATTAAGATAAATTCTGATTCCTAGTGGCAGGGAGTGACGCTAGGCCGAAAGCACGGTGTGTTGAATATAGTGAAATCCATGAGGCATTAACACCAACAACGCGCAATGACACGGTGTTACTTTCTCAAAGAGCTGTTGTTTTGCAAAGAGTTTCACGCGAGAACAACAGCAGGTTACGCCTAGCCTTGATGATTACGTCACTGAAAAAGGTCTTGATTGGAAAATACTGTACAGGTGTTTGCACAGATGGCACAGCATCAGGAACATGCTGTAGTGTTGCCACACAGTTTAAGAGAGAGCACGACACGCCAAATGGACGCACTCTTTCTTACATATGGGAAGTCGGGAAAACAATGCACTCACTTCAAGGTGTTTTGCAGCTTTTGCACCACAGTGCAACAAGGCGGCTTTCCACAGAGCCTGTGCGTATTAATGGCCTTTCTGGACTAACAAAAATGCACACATTTCTGCCCTCTTGCTGAGCATTACACTGGTGGTAACATTTGTTTGCAGTTTAGTCAGCTCCATGTATCAATGCAAGGCAGAAACAGCACAGTGTTTTTGGTTTCAGAAAAAAGTCTGAGAGCTTTGGAACAGAAGAGTCAAAGCAGGATGTTTTCACTCCTGAAATGCTGGAAGAAGCTCCGCATGTCAACAAATCCAGTGCTAAACATGGCAGACTACTACTCAGAGGACCCATGACATGGAAACCTTTAGATTTTGGACCCTTTTGTGTTTCAGAGCACATGGCTCTGTCCACTGTGTTGGAAAATGAACTGACAGCAGTACACAGCCTGAAGGTTTCACTCAAAACAGGTGACCTTGCTTCTTTCTGGCTACTGACTGTCTTTCAATGTCCCTCTCTGCCACAACAGGCAAATACATTTCTTTAGCCTTTCGCCACCACCTGCAAGTCAGGGTTTTCCACTGTGGCTGTCACAAACCCAAAGGCAGGGAACAAACTGAACTTTAAATGCTACTCTGCGTGTCACCTTCTCGCCCATCTCACCATGACCTCATCATTTCACAGAAGTGAGTATCTCATGAGGGTAAGCAGAATATGGGACCATGACAGTGGCATTACATGTGTTTATAGCCCATATTATTTATTTTGTGTTGTTCTCCTTAATTATTTGTGAAGATGGTCCTTGGAATTATTTTAGCATTGCTGCCTCTTACAAGCACAGACAGAATGCGGTACAAAAAACATGCATGGCTATTCTTCATTTGTATGGAGGGGTGGACTGTAAGAACCTAAGACTGATGCAGTTCCTATGATAAATGCTCCATTTGATCATTTGATTGGTTTGTAATGAACTGTGTACTTGGTGGTTTCCACCTGCCTGCGCTTGTGGAAGTCCTAATCCAAAGAAAGGAGGACAGCTACTTTACTTTTTGGAGCTTAGGTGAAAAGAGCCTTGGTTGGTTAGTTTGATGGCCGGTGCACATCAAGGAGTAAGTTAAAAGTACAGTAGCTAGTGATAAAAACATTTAGCCTTTATTGGTCAAGGCCTTATGGGAAATGGTGTTAATTTAATAGACATTTTGAATACATAATAATGATAGACTTTGTTTTTATGCCTCCACACTGGCAGCGGCTGCGGCCATAGTCGACGTGTTTCTGGGTTGTCTGTCTGTCCAGCTCATTTTTGTAAACAGGAATGCCTTGGGTGAATTTCTTAAAATTTGGTACAAGTGCCCATATGGACTCAAGGATGAATTAATTAGTTTGGTAGTCAAAGGCCAGTGACCTCACTTCTGTCCCATACCCGTGAACATGTCTGGATGGCAGAGGCATACAACCTCAAAGTGGTAATTCAAGTTTTTATTACCATCCATACAGTGAAACCTGACATAGCATTGATTAAGATTATGTTCCAGGGCTGGATTTGTTCTTATTAGAATAGCTACAAATATAAATAAGAATTTTAAATAAGTTTTTTTTTCTTGGAACAAAAACACAGCAGTTTCATTGAATGTTTGTTGCTACTGTGTCTGTAGCGCTACAGCTATGCCAGCTGCACCACAGAGAGGCAGAAGTTTGAAATCCCACATTACACCAAGTGCTGACTAAAAACAGGTTTCATGCCTTTTTGAAGAATTAAGGTGTTCTGTATTTACATCCGTTGAAGTACAAGAATGTGATGTGCAGATCAATACTTCCGTTCCTGACATTACCTGTTCCAGGACCGATTCCAGTGTGAAAAGATCAATATCCAAAATAAGTAGGCTAATTTGTGGTACATGTATATTTTCTCTTCAACAGGGGGTGCAGTAGAAAGTAACTACATCATCACCAGGACAGACTAAATGACACCCAGTTGATAGGACTGACTTCTCCTTCTGCCTGTCATGGTCATATGTAAACTACTGCTCTGTAAATGTGTGAGACACTACAGAATATGAAAAGCTTCAGTTGGGAGTCTCTTGGCAACAGAGCGGCTGTTGCTGGGTGGAGGGAAGTAAACAACAACCAAGAAGGCATGTAAAGGGTCCCTGTATGTATGGATGTAGTCCCATCGTCATCACTTCAGTATCTGGGCTGCAGAAACGTACGTGAGCAGGGTGGCACCATTTGTTGTTCATAAAAGCGACAAGCCCTTATAGATACACCTCACTGCCTGTCTCCTCTCCTCCATCAGTCTCTGTTGTCTGGACCCATAACTTTTCCCTTGTTTTGTTGTAGAAAGTATCTGTATTGGTATCAATGATACCAGCCCAGATTTTACTTGGTACGGGATCAGAAAGGGAATAAGTGGTGCCACATATCACTGGCAAGAGTGAAGTAATCAGTGTAGGACAGATGATGAAGCTTGTCTCATCACTTATATTTCTCTCTCTAACCAGTGCTTCCCTCCCATTTAGTAGCTATCAGATAGTGGGTTGATTATCACTATAGTGACATATGGGTATTTGCATGTTTAGTGTATATACAGCACTGCTCTCAGGCAAACAGCCAAAAGTAGACCATTTTGATGCTACCCCAATGTCTCAGAGACATGAATTGGTTCCCTGAAGCTGAGCAGTTTGTAGTTGCTGTA